TTCTGACTTATAGTATCAATTTTGAATTCTATATTTTTTTTATTTCACCTAAGTACATCCTTAAAACTCAAAACAGCACTTCAAATCATTTTCAAAAAAATAATACATATACATATGATAATTCTAAATGTACACCATGGAATGGAAAGTGGTCTATGAATATTCTGCGAAAAACATTCACAAACATGTTCAATCTCGCCAAAAAATGTTATGAGACCGTTCTAAGTCAGTAGCAGGTAATTAGATGGCTATCGATGGATTTGATCTGCAACACATGTTCTTGTTTTTGTTTGCTATTTAGAAGCATAAATCAGGCCGTTGGTTTTTCTCTTTGTTATTATCTTTCAAGTTTTCACAAACCTTCTAAGAATTGATGAATATGGTGTCAGAAGCCATTTTCGAAGTGTTCGTGGCATACTTTTTAGAAACCTTGAAAAAAAGTGAATGTATGATGCTTGTCTATCTCTGTCAACCTTTTACTATTGAAAGAGAGAGACTACTGATACCAAAAGATATAAATCAAACTGACAACGCCATGACACAAACAAACAAAAAAACGACGGAAAGACAAAAAATAGTCTACAAAGCACAATGTACATAGACAACTAAAAACTGAGCAGCTTTATAAGAACGCATTATAGTGACTCCATTCAATTGCTTTGTACAGTCAAACTTGCCAAATTTCATTCATGCTGTTGCATAATCCTCACAATTAACTGTTGTATTATGGGTGGTACAAAGATGCTTAATCACTGTTGTGTTTACTGTACAGCTGATTTGCAAACAGTTGTAAAAGATCTTAAATCACAGATATACCCCCTTAAGAAGTCATTAAGAAGTTTTCACATCACATATATACCCCTTTAAGAAGTCATTAAGAAGTTCTCACATCCAAGATATACCCCCTTAAGAAGTCTTTAAGAAGTTTTCACATCACATATATACCCCCTTTAGTAGTCATTAAGAAATTCTCACATCCCAGATGTACCCCCTTAAGAAGTCATTAAGATACATTTATTCATTACTTTACTCACAATTTAAAATTATTGTACAATAGCTTACTCATTCTTTAGCACTATAGAAAGCCGTATTTATATTTCAGGAGTATCTTCTTATCGCCATTCAAACCGGCACAGAGGTAATGTACAACACTAATTTATTTTAACTCTACACGGATAAAACAATAAGATAACTATTCGATTTGTTTTATCAAACGTGCAGTTAAAACACTCTCAGATAGCGGATTGCGCGCTCACAAACATGCTTCTGTGTCTTTCACGGGCTTGGAGATGGTCCATTGTTGTAGATGGTTGTAAATGCCGGCCGTTGTATTATCATTTTTTTATGTTATAGATGTACAGTAATAATATGCTTCTCATTTTATTCCACTCCCATATATCCTCATTTGCATATTAACTCTGATTTTTTTTTTTAATCGTACGAAAAGGAATTATAGAAATAATTGAAAATGTTTCACATGTTTAATTTTCTTCTCATTTAAACGGATTGAATTGAGTTAAGCAAAACATAAAATATAAGGTGCTTCAGTTTTTGATGGAAAACAAGTAGTATACAGCTTTCTGATTAGTAGGAGGTTTCCTGGAATAAGTAACATTGCACATTAATAGAAAATGTTTTATAATAGAATAGAAAGAATATGGTGTATCCATTCATACCACAATATCAATAAATGCACACACAGCGAAAACAACCATTTGTTTTGATGTTCTTCATCTCATAGTCCGAGTCCTTCAATACGGGTCAACAAATCTCGGCTCAGCTCAAGTTTAAGATAGCCCCTAGCACCGGTTTTAGCGGAATTCATTGCAAACAGACGATCACGCCACAAAGCCAAGGAGTAACATAAATAAACACAATGTATACTTTATATGTAAAGGATTAAATTGGGTTAAACAAAACATAAATTGTTAAATGATTCAGCTATGGATAGAAAACAAGTAGTATTCAACTTTCGGAAAAGTAGGTGTTTTCTTTGAAGAAGAACATTGCAATCTGTAATTGTTACAAAATGAAAATAAGAAGATGTGGTATGTTTGCCAATGGGACAACTCTCTACAAGAGACCAATTGACATGGCAATTAGCATCTATAGGTCACCGTACGGCCTTTAACAATGAACAAAACCAATACCGCATAGTCAGCTATAAAAGGCAAAACAACAAGTTAAACTCTAAATCCCTACATTGAAGTTCAAACCTTGGACGAGTGTGCCTATTGTTAACGGACATACTATGGATAACAACATCAGATTTTAAGACTGTAATTTTTATACTCTTATTTTCAACTTCTTATCCGGTAAAAAGTCTAATTTGGTAGGGCACATCGAGGACGGGATTGTTGTAACGACAATTAGTTCATATCCGTCGTTGTTTGTGAAACAGATTTTCCATAAAGGTCAGTCAACTTGTGGTGTCGTCCGTAAAATTTTCGAAGGGATGATTTTAACCGCACAAATCATCCTTTCGAAAAGTCAATGCAATATTCTCTTGAGGATGTACTTGAATCAGGTTTAGGAATTATTGTCAGATGTTCGGACTTTTTTGTTTTTTTTGCCCAAGGGTAAATATTTTGCCCCATAACACCAATTTTTCTTTTCATATAAGACTTCACTAGCTCATAAAAGGTCATTTATCAAAATTTAAGCAGATTCACTACAAACCAGTAAAAGTCTGAAATGGCCTATATCTGTACTCGACTGTACTGATTTTTACTCGACCAGTCTGAATTGGTCTGAATTTTACTCGACAATACTCGACCCCAGTCTTAACCATACTCGACTGTACTGATTTGTACTTGACCCTTGTCTTTGCCATTGAAAATAGTCTGAACTATTACTCGACCAGTCTGAAACTCTCTTAACCCATTCTCGACCTGTACTCGACCTATTTTTTTCAGTCTAAACCATACTCGACCAAAGGTCTGAACAATACTCGACCAGTCTGAACCATACTTGACCAAATTGCCTCTACTTTTTCTAAATTTTAACTGTTAAAATAAATTATTTTATTTTTTAACTGACATGACAACAGCCACAATAAAATAAAGATATTTTATAAAAAACAGATTTTTACATTCTTACATGATTCTCAGATTTATCAAATAGAGGTAGTTAAATCAAGTTATCTTATGTAATAATATAATTATATTAATTATAGGGTTTTAGAGTTTTGTTAAAAAAAGATTTCTTTTACCTAAAAACCACACCTATACTGGGGGTAATTAAACCTTATTAAGGTGCTTCTTGTTTGGCATGTGTTTTCTTTTTAAATTAATTTTCCTAAATTCCTAAATTAAAACTACATAGGTTTCATGGTTACATACAAAAATATACAATAGTTATATAATTATCTTTTTAATGAGGTAACAACAGCCAACAAAATCACTGAAATTGTTTTACCTTATTTTAGAAATATATCTATTATTATAATTTTGGATATATTATATACAATATATATCAAAAAGGGATAAAAATTATAGAAATTAATAAAATTGTTCTTCTGATTAGTGGTGAAGTATAAAGTAATACCTCCTGCTTGGAGCAAACTCATGAAAAAGATCACACCTGGTCAGAGAGTATTAAATTCTGAATAACATTCATTCAAAATTGCAACATCCTGTGAAACTTAAATCACAAGGCCTTTTGAATTCACTAGATAAGTAATACACGAGTTTAAGAAAAATAGGGCTTTCTTTTTACCTTGTAAAACATACATATACTGAGGTAATTAAACCTTATTAAAGTGCTTCTTGTATGCCATGTCTTTAATTTTGACAAAAATTATTTAAATTTAATTGAAATAAATTTTTACTGTAACTTTGGAACACATTTCCTTTTTTAAAAGTTTATCACAGGATTACTATGGAAGTTCTATTATCATGATTATATTAAATTCTTGGTTTAACAAAACAAAGGTGTCATTTTTTAAAATTTATCAAGTTGCTTTATATGCTATTTTATATATATTTTAATAAAAAAATGTTCACTGCATTATTAACTAAACTCAACTGACACCATAAATCTCTGCTAGACGTAAGTAAATGGTGAAAATTGTCCAGTAACCATAAAATATATCTGAAACATTCAAAAAGTTTTGAATAACATTGAAAATATTAGTCACAATTCAGTTTTGAGATTATTTGATCAGCTTGTTTTATTTTTATTTTAAAGGTGATATATATGTATGTATATAAGTGTTGACGAATATGGTGTTGAAGTTATATTATGTTTATTGTGAAATTTTGGTTTCAATGCTATACTGAATACATTTTTAATTTCAAATTGTTGTTCAAATTTCTAGCCAGGGGATATAGCTGTTGTTAAAAACAGTTCCTAAATTGATGAAATACAATAGAAAGATATATACAAATAATACGTCTAGGTTAGTTAAGACTTGGTCGAGTATGGTTCAGACTAGGTCGAGCATGATCAGACTAGGTCGGGTATGGTTCAGACAAGGTCGAGCATGGTTCAGACTAGGTCGAGTATGGTTCAGACACGTATAAAATGGTTAAGTACTGGTCGAGTACAAGTTCAGACTGTTAAGTATGGTTCAGACTACAGTCGAGTATTATCAAGTAAATTTCAGACCAATTCAGACTGGTCGATGAAAATCAGTACAGTCGAGTACAGATATAGGCCATTTCAGACTTTTACTGGTTTGTAGTGATTCTAGATTTATTTTCTTTCGATTTGAAACCCAAATAATACCAATGCAAATATAAGGTAAAAGACCGAGTCAGCCTTTTCCCGCAGTTTTTTAAAACTTAAATATCTGGAAAAGGAGCTCCATAACCTATCAATATTTTTAGCCTGTTTTGTTTTTTAATTTATGTTCTTCTGACTTATAGTATCAATTTTGAATTCTATAATTTTTTTATTTCACCTAAGTACATCCTTAAAACTCAAAACAGCACTTCAAATCATTTTCAAAAAATTAATACATATACATATGATATCGATTAGCATATTATTATTTGCAGATAGTAAAGTGACACATTATGGCAGTTATAGACAAGGGAACTACATGAATACAACACCTCCACCTGTTGGTGGTGGGAGAAGTGTTCGTTTACCGCTCAATCTATATCCAATTTTCTATAAACTTCAACTACAACCTTTTATATATGGAACAAATGCATCCGAGTTCTATTTCACTGGAAAAGTTACTATTAAAATGAAATGCAGGCGGTCAACGAACGAAATCGTTCTACACAGCCATCAGCTTAACATTCGGACACGTTCTGTCAAGATACATCCATTGGCACCTGGGCAAAATACAATTATTCCTACAATAGGATTTGATACTGTCAATCAGTTCCTTATTTTGAAATCCAATACACAATTAATTCGCGGGTCGAAATATTCTGTTTATATTGAGTTCCATGGACCTCTACTTTCTGAACTGGCTGGATTTTTTCAAACTTCATACCAACGTGGAAATGATACAATGAAAGTAGAAATAAGTCATATGAACAGTATAGACTGCACGAAAGAAAAAAAAAACCAAAGATCGATAAATACCCAGATGGGCGTTTATATAATATGTAATAGAGAGCAATTCCAATGGAGTTATATTCTGCCTAATATGATTGCATAACAATCACTCGGGATACGGATTTATAAAAGGTTTTCCAAACTTGTTTCCGAATCCCATATTGTTACATGTAACATTGTACTACGTCATTGTTAAAATTTTTCATTAATAAATACTGTTTAAACTAACAAGCACCACTGAGATAACAGTATCGTGATGACTTGAGGATAACCACTTTTAATCATCATATATTGATTATTCGTACATGGATTCCAGAAACTAATCAAATTTATAATTGTTTTATATTTTCAATAATCAGTATTCAGTTTCATTGTGTATTTTACAGTTATATTGCTCAGACACATATGCAGCCAACGAATGCAAGAAAAGTCTTTCCGTGTTTCGACGAACCTGCGATTAAAGCAAGATTTAGGGTGACTCTTGTCAGAAAAAAAAACTTCATTTCCTTGTCAAACATGAACCAAATCAGATGCCGATCCTTGTAAGCTATTATTCTTTATTTAAAAAAACAAACTATTTATGGTAATCGTTACAGTAGACAAACATCAGAATGTAACCTTCAAATATAGATAATGTCGATTCATATATACAACGGGATACATATACGATAGATAAATCAACTGCAGTTTTTGGCGGGCTTCGTGTTGATCAGTATTTATTTTATGTGACATGTAGATTGGTGTTTTTTTTCTTCGTCAATTTTACTTTTTGACGTAATTTGAACGTTCTCACTTCGACTTTTGAGTTTTAGATGGACCTTAGTTTCTTCCACCTTTTGTTTTCTACTTTTGACTCTCACTTAGGTACCTTCTGTCTTTTTTGTTATTATAAAAGAATCATTTTCTCTTTACGAATTGAAATTTTATATTATAAATCTTTTGTATTTATAAGTTTTTCCCAAAAACTAAGCGGTTATCAAATTGTTAAACAAAAACATCAAAATGTTGCCCATCCCCCTAAGTGTACTGGAAAGAAAGTCTACTATTCATCGGCGAGTATTTTTTGTGTAACTGCTAGTCGTAGTGCAGAAATCAGAAATTCGTAGAGGCAATCATTGAATTCATTCGCTTACACTAGTAAAACAAATTTGATCTGAATCATTTTGTTCTTTAATGACGGAACAATGAATTATGCAGTCATATTCAGTCTATCACTTTATTTTCAAACTTATCAACTACGGTAAAATTAACAAATCGCGTTAGAATTATGGACCAAAATAATAGTTTTAACGTCAAGTGGTCTTTTGCGTTAAAAATTTGTAATATTAAATTTTATGTTCTAAGTAGAATAATTCTGATATATTTTTATAGAACAAGTTATTTTTTAATCAATTACACTTTGTTTTTTTTCAAGAGGCAACGACTGGGTTGCTGATCATTATGCAGTTACACCGAAGATATCAACTTACTTATTAGCTTTCGTTGTTTGTGATTTCGTATCCAAAGAAGTCAGAACGTCAACTGATGTATTAGTAAGTATTCCTGTAACACGTCAACACATCATTAATCAAACTCATTGCCAGTTCATTCTTCCGTTCGTAAGCGTGAATGATAATAAATAGCTGCGTGAATATAGTTAGTTGATATGTTTGGAACTAACTTATAAACTCATCATAGATACCTCGATTAAAATTATGTACCATAGATGCGCGTTATGTTTACAAAAGACTCATCAGTGACGCTCGAATCAAAAATATTAAAAATGCAAATAAAGTACAAAGTTAAAGAGTATTGGGAACTTGAAATTCCGAAACGTTTTTGCCAATTAAAGCTAAGGAAATCTATTCTAGGGTAGAAAATCCGTAGTAATGTGACAAATTTCAAAGGTTTGTCAATAGTTAATTTAATATCAATGATCAATCATGTCAACACTGAAGTACTGACTACTGGGCTGGTGATATCCTCGTAGTATTAAGATAGTTTTCGATTTCCCTGACTTTTATTGGATTGAAATGAGAAAAGTAGGACAATATGCTTTACAGATTGGGTTCACGGTCATCGTTTAGTGGAAATAATCAACACAAGCCTTTTTTATTTTGATTAAAACAGCTGGAAAATAGGATAATGCTGCAAATTGCAATCAAATGACTTAACTAGTGTTTTAAAAAAATTTATATGAAACTAAACAAAGATACACCGGTAAATTATGAACCATTTTAACAAGTATTTAAAGGGACAAAAGCTGTCTAATTCATGTTCACCGATTTTACTCAAATTCACACGTTTGAATTATAACATGCTAAAACGTATATATTCAAGTTACAAAAATCCAAACGAAACAATAAACAATGATGCACGAACATGTTATAATCTATTAGCATTTCGTGTCTATTTTAGACTAAATATACAAATAAGAAGATGTGGTATGATTGCCTATGATACAACTCTCCACAAGAGACCAAATGACACAGAAATTAACAACTGTAGGTCACCGTACGGCATTTAAAAATGAAATGAGAAAAACCCATTCCGCAATGTCAGTTATAAAAGGTCCCGAAATGACAAACGTTAAACAATTCAAACGAGAAAACCAATGGCTTGATTCATGTACAAAATAATGAACGAAAAACAAATATGATACACAGCAACAAACGACAACAACTGAATAACTGGCTCCTGACTTGGGACAGCCACATTCAGAATGTGGCGGGGTTTAACTAGTTTGTTGGCGTCAAACTCTCCCCTAACCTGAGAAAGTGGTGTAACGGCACAATGCAACAGAAGAACAAACTATGCAAAACAATAAACGTCAAACTAATATGAGAAACAGAAAAACTGAAACCACTCAATTATAGGCTCCTGACTTGAGACAATCATATATAGAATGTGGCGGGGTTAAACTAACTTGACGGCGCCAGCCCTCACTAACCTGGGACATCTAGCAAAAACACAGATCGGACGTGGAAGGGTACTTATAAATCCCCACAACAAAAAAACACTAAGTACTGATATGAGAGTACTTGCAGTTACGGACAGCTAGTTCAAAGCCAAAAACAACTACATGTAATAAAAAAATCATTCACCTAATCCTTAAATATCAATCAGTACACACAAAACAACATCCAATGGATTAAGTGTAAAAACGTAATTTACATCCGTAAAAATTAGGATGTGCTATCCCGTTTGAAATAAGTTTTCTACAGATACAACCAAACTTCGAAACACAATCTGTATATCTATACATGTATATAGAAGAATTTAGTGAATGTTTTAAGGTAACGAAATCCCTGACTTAACGCCATTAAATTATCCATCCAGATGACCTCCGAAGACAAGCAACTGTCAAATTACCCAATATAAACACAAGTAAAAATGTTTATAAACAGTCAAGCACGTGCAATCGTTTAGTAACGATTTTTCTAGGTCTTTTTGATTTCATGTTATCATGTTATAGATTAAAAACACACACACTCATATATATAAGTACGTCTAAAAAGGTGATAAGTCTGCAACATATCCATCCATTGGATCATCGGTGAAGGTGATATCGGCTGAAAACACATATTATATACATAATTACTCTAAATATCAGCACAACAATGTTAAATCTGCAAATTTGCTGAAGCAAATTTTTGTTCTTCCCTCGCCGGGATTCAAACTCATGCTATTGGGATATCATGACAACACCGCCTGCACTGTTCCAGCGCTCTAGACCACTCGGCCACCTAGACTGAACTAAAAATTCAGATTTCGGTGGACTAGTGTTACCTTCCTCATCAGTAGAATCTAGTGTTGTAACACAGTACATGATATATTAGGCATAAAGATTGAAGTGATTGCAGATTCATTACATAAACTGCTTGATAAATGAATTAGGTATTGACAATTCACTTGGAAACTCAACATATACCCTCACGACACTTACAAAAGAAGAAATCCTGGATAATCATAGGTCTGTTCTATGTTCCTTTGGAATTTCAACCAAAGATGAAGAACTGGATCTTCCATCACTGTATTGGATACCTAAACTACATAAGTGTCCTTACAAACAACGGTATATTGCTGGGTCTTCCAAGTGCTCCACGAAACCTCTTTCTAAATTATTAACATCTATTTTATCAGCAATCAAAGCCGGGCTCCAAAGTTATTGTGAAACTGCCTATTCTAGAGGTGGTGTGAATCAGAAGTGGATACTAAAAAATTCCAAAAATCTTTTAGAGTACATACAATCTAAGATTCTCTCATCTTGCAATAGTATTAAAACATTTGACTTTTCTACACTTTACACAAGTATTCCCCATTCCAAACTAAAAGACAAATTGAAAGAGTTGGTTTTACTTTGTTTCATTAAAAAGAATGGCGAACGTAGATACAAGTATCTTGTCTTGGGGAGGGATAAATCCTACTTTGTAAAGAATCACTGACATTATCAAGATGCTTGATTTCTTGATTGACAACATATTTGTTACGTTTGAAGGACGTGTTTTTCAACAGACTGTCGGAATTCCAATGGGAACCAATTGTGCCCCTCTTCTTGCCGACTTGTTTTTTTATTATTATGAGGCTGACTTCATACAGGAACTTCTTAGGAAGAAAGATAAGCAGTTAGCAATATCCTTTAACTCTACGTTCCGCTATATAGATGATGTTCTTTCACTAAATAATACAAAATTTGGTGACTATGTTGAACGAATCTATCCCATCGAACTAGAGATAAAGGATACTACAGATACAGTAACGTCTGCCTCATATCTTGCCTTACATCTAGAAATTGACAATGAGGGTCGGTTGAAAACAAAACTTTACGACAAAAGAGATGATTTCAGCTTCCCAATTGTGAACTTTCCATTTCTATGTAGCAACATTCCAGCAGCGCCTGCATACGGAGTATATATCTCCCAATTGATACGATATTCCCGGGCTTGTGTTTCCTATCATGATTTCCTTGATAGAGGATTGCTGCTCACAAGGAAGCTATTAAGCCAAGAGTTCCAAATGGTGAAGTTGAGATCATCCCTTCGTAAATTTTACGGACGCCATCACGAGTTGGTTGACCGTTATGGAATAACCGTTTCACAGATGATATCGGATATGTTCCTTATGTCGTAACTACAATACCCTTCCCTTTTCACGAATACGACTTACCGAATTAGACTATTTACCGGATTTGTAATATTTTAAGCAACACGACGGGTGCCACATGTGGAGCAGGATCTGCTTACCCTTCCGGAGCACTTGAGATCAACCCCAGTTTTTGGTGGGGTTCGTGTTGCTTAGTCTTTAGTTTTCTATGTTGTGTCATCTGTACTATTATTTATCTGTTTGTCTTTTTTTTTTGGCCATGGCGTTGTCAGTTTGTTTTCGATCTATGAGTTTGACTGTCCCTATTGGAATATCGTGACAACACCGCCTGCACTGTGTCCAGCGCTCTAGACCACTAAGCTACCTAAACATATAGTTTTCGGTGGCCTAGGGTTACCTTTCCTCGTCAGTAGAATCTAGAGTTGTAACACAGTCTATATATCATCGTTATCTGTAAAGGTAAAATATATTAGTTATTCCTGGTGTCTCCTTGTTTCACTTTTCAATGTTGCCATTTTTTTCTTTTTAACGAACAAACGACTTGCTGAAAAAATGCGTAACCCATCTCAATTAAAGGTCAAATTAAATGTTGCATGGATACGGATTTAAATATGGTAACATTATTGACTTGCAAGTCAATAATACATTAGGAATATGTTTTAGTTTATTTTGACGAAATTGAACCAAACTGACTACGATTACAAATATTATTACTATGATCTGCTTTTGATATAAGCGGTAAAAGTTGCAACTTTTTTAAAGAAGCAAAGGAGAATCAAAACTAGTAAGATTGACAGACAAAATCATAACAAATAACGAAAAACGACGAAAACACAAACAACTTTCCATAACACATTAAATATAAAATACTATAGACTGAGCAATATGGGGCTTTTCAGGTGCATCGGAAGGGTAAGTAGATCGTGTTCTTTACAAAACACCGGTCGGCAATATAACATTACACAAAACACTAAAACGGAGCAAAGTAACAATTGAAAGGGTTTTGAATCATCAGCTAGATTTCGATAGTTGGTTACCTCTTCACACTATTGTGATTTGAGAGTTACATTCAGTCTGAAAGAGATCTAAAATTCTTAACACTTAAATGATTATTAGAAGGACATTTGAACTACGTTCTTTTGGGTTTCAAGTGTGTTTTTTTCGTACTTAATATACGAAAACTAATTTTTAATTTCTGAATTGCTGCTCAAGTTTAAGGGGATACCTAACACTTTGACTTAGCTAGATTTGGCTGGTTAATGTTTCAAAAAATTTTGACAAAAGTGTTACTTTGACCTGTTGACAAAAATGTAAAATTTCCAACAAATTTGAACCACAGAAATCACAGGAACAATTTCATTCGATATATAGCAGTTTTTCAAACACTAATTTTAATCATTGAGAATCTTGTTTTTCTCTACTAATAGTATGTGATTAAAATGTTCATCTGATTGTTATAGAGTTAATTCCCTTAAGTGTGCTGTCCCCTTTAAACATTTAAGATAATTTTAAATATATCAAAGACGATTTGTGGAAATTATTATTATAAACATCTATGAATCAGACTTTTGTAGCAAAAATATTTTTGGATAAGGCTTTGGCTTATATCTCAACATTAGTGACAAACTTTCATTATGAGGCTTTATTGGTAGTTTGCTTACATAATAACAATAACAGTACACTGTTATAACGATAAAAGTACCTATTGTACAGCATGAGATATGCATTTCGACAATCAATGTCTTTTCTGTGATTTTCGAGCCAACATATTTGAAAAACTTCAAACAATTAAGAGCTGAAAAAACAAAAAGGATTAAAATGGTAAGGGAAAATTCGTACAAGGAATTAGAGCTATGCATGAGAGAGATATATTTCTTAATCTATAACGATTTCAAAATTATATAATAGCGTATTTCTATGAAATTATATCCGTATTTCCGTGCCAGTGCCGAAGTGCTGGCTTCTAGACTGGTAATAACCTCAGGAACAAACAGTACACCAGCAAAGGTAACAACCAAGTATATTTTTTTGCTGTTGATAGCTTTTCATATGTACTGTAGTATACTGCTGTTAACATCATAAATCTTTTTTTACGGTTGATATAAATCTCACACACAATTATACACATAGCAACCAAATCAAATATTCAATCTATATTAGTACAGAGTTTGGGCTCGTTCAGATGCAATCAGTCAAACAACATACGCTTTAGACGTTGGTGCCAGAATCCTGACATTCTATGAAGAATACTTTGGTTATCAATTTATGCTTCCTAAACAAGGTGAGGTATATGTATACGAATCAAATTCCGCTTCCTAAACAAGGTAAGAGGTATATGCATACGCACAATTTTCAGCTTCCTAGGCAAGGAAAGAGGTATACGTATGCGAATCTACTTCCGCTTTCTTAACAAGGTAAGAGGTCACTATTTGTATGCGAATCCATTTCCGCTTCTTAACAAGGTAAGAGGTCACTATTCGTATGCGAATCCATTTCCGCTTCTTAACAAGGTAAGAGGTATACTTATGCGAATCAATTTCCGCTTCCTAAACAAGGTAAGAGGAAAATGTATACGAATCGATTTCCGCTTTTTAAACAAAGGTAAACTGTATATATATGCGAATTCATTTCTACCTCCTAATCAAGAAAGATGTATATGCATACGAACATGTTTAGTAATCTTCACAGTGTTATTCAATTAGAAACACTTATACACATAAAATTCAACACTAATACACATTCAGCTCCTTAAACATTAGTTCTTGTTCTACAAACATTGAAATACTTCAATTTTATTTCTATCAATCTGGGTTTAGATCGGGATATTTTTCATATATATCAACGTAATATACTTACCATTGTTGTTATGCGAAAGTTCTTATATATTAGTCCAATCTTTGATTAGAACTTGTTTTATGTCTTGGAGACCTGATTTCTGGTAGACCTTGACCCAAGAAAATGGCGTCTAGGACTAGGAAAAAATGTGGGAAATACATATCATGTTTGCAGGGTGCCTAACAATCAAAATGAAATGAACACAAATTAGTGTGTAGGAAATTTTACAAAACAATACACCATAATATCTAGCTTATCAAAGTTGAAAGACACGGTTTGTAAAACCGACATACTTGTCAAATTATGAACAGAAATGAATGTTGATAATATTAGTGTCACTTTCATGTAACTTTACTTAATTTAGTTTGATATTTATTTTTTAATGCTGGAAACGTATATCAAATGAAATAAGACATCATGTTACTCAAACAGATTTATCTTTTATGATGGAATTTATCATTCGTTTAGCTTCAACCAAGGTCTCTACTTGTTTTTTTTTCAATTTCGATGTTAACGTTTTTCCTTCGCATTAAATTCAGTCGATTAAGACTTGATTAGACCAAAATTACCGTTTCAGACTGAAATCTAACTACTAGTGTCTATTTCATTTGCTTAATGTTATCCTGTTTTGACCGTCCGTCTGTCGTATCAAGTTTCCGTCGCATTTTTTGCATAAACTATACCTAAGACCTTCCTGAAATTTGGTCTCAGGCTTTTTAAGAGCATACTATTCTGAACAATGCTTTCAGATTTATCGCTCATCAGCTTCTTGCTGACAGAATATATTCTTATACATGTACATGTATAAGAATATATTCCTCCGGGTGCGGGAATTTATCGCTGCATTGAAGACCTGTTGGTGACCTTCTGCTGTTGTCTGTACTATGGTCGGGTTGTTGTCTCTTTGACACATTCCTCATTTCCATTCTCAATTTTATGTACATAATGGGTATGTATAATATTTTCTTCTTTTTTGTCTTGGGAACTAGAAATAAGATCTTTCTCAAATATGTTATCAGACTTCATGTGCACATGATATACGGTGTGATGCGGTATTCGATTTATCGCTGATCAGCTTTTTGTTAATTCAATACTTATGTATTTTAAACAGCAAATTGCCATGTACGAAATTTTCAGTGCATGCTTGTAGGGACCTACACACAGAGCTTGCTAAAATGCCTTTCAATCCTGTTTGATACATTTTAATATTCATCGCTCACAAACTATTTTTTTACCTTACAGTTATATTTTCTTACACATTATGACCATCTATAATATGTTCGTCACATTTTTCTCGGAATCTTCAAATAAGTGCACCCAGCAATTTGGTATCAAATCCATTTTCGCGAATGTTCTTTTTATTCTGTTGTGTTTTTTTTTTTTTTTTTTTTTTGGGTGTGTTTTGTGGACGTTATTGTCTTGTGTATGTTTTAGTGATAATTCAACTTCTCAAACGACACTGTTTTGATAGCTTTAACCGTTTCTGAAGTGGTTTATATCTTTTGCATAAATGTTTGCAGTTTCTTATATTTCTTTTCAAGACACAATAGCTGTTCCAGATTATCTTGGTTCAATGGAAAATTGGGGACTGATTATCCAGAGAGAAGAGGCCATGGCGTATGTTCCTCTAGAAACAGCAGAGGATTTTAAAGAGTTTGTTACTATGGTTATATCGCATGAGTTGTCACACGTGGTAAGTAGAAAATAAGCTTATGATATTCTTTCTTTCTTAAAACATGGTAACTTCTCTTTTATTTCAGTCGTTGTCTGATTTGGATCACACCATGGTGCTTAACTTTTTTAATTTATTACTATGTAACCGGTATGTATTGCTTATCGGTTATTTTTAATTTCGAAATATTTCTATTATCAGCTATAATATACATGATATATAATACAAGAACAATGAATTATGATAAAATTTAGGACACCTCACTTGGGACAAATGCGGGGTTAAGTTAGCGTTTTTGAATAATTGTTTGTTGTCTAAGAAAGGCGAAAGATACGGAAGGGATATGCAAACTCATAAGTCGAAAACAAACAGACATCGCCATGGCAAAAAAGAAAAAAAAACGAAAAAAAGACAAAGAAACTTAAGAATGAAACATAAACTCCACCTAAAACGGTAGGTGATCTCATGTGCTCCTGAAGGGTAAGCAGATCCTGCTCCACGTGTGGCACCCGTCGTTGAAGACTACATTTAAATTATGTTTTATATTTTAAGATATATAAATTTGTGAAAAAAATAACTCGTTTAAATGTTTAAGGCTTTGAATTTCAGGATCTTATAACACTATTTTAACATGTTCATGTTTCTAAACGGACGCATCAGATCTCGCTTCTTTTGGCGTGCATGAAATTCCTTCCATGTTTGTTTGTTCCCTTGATTTCTCTCTTCTTAATCGATCTTCGTAATTCGAACATCGGTTAACTACTGGCGTATAACAAGTGTCTGTCGTTTTGCACCGATTCTATATAAAAAAAATCTACTATAATGTGTTCCATATTATCCATTAGGCACACTTGTAAACGCCTAATATGAAGGGGAAAAAAGAGACACTAGATATTTCTAAAAAATCTATCTTATCTGACACTTAAAAAAAAAGTATTTGTCTCATTAGAGTTACACTGATCAAATGACACAAATATTAATATCTGATATAAAAACATTAATATTTCCGGTATAATCTTATGAATATTTATTTTGTTATCATGCATCTATAAATGTAATTAGTTAAATCATGTGACCACTCATTGATTGAACGATCTAAGTATTATTTCATTTATTGAAATTTTTAAATTTTGTTTTTAAGTGGTTTGGGAACTTAGTGACACCCATATGGTGGGACGAGTTATGGTTAAATGAAGGATTCGCCAACTATATCGCAAATGTTGGAATAAATTTCATAGAAACAAGCTGGATGGCGGTAAATAATTCATTTTAACGTAACATTGCAACATTATCATAACTTACTGCCATGCTTATCAAGTATAAAATAAGGAGATGTGGTATGATTTCCAATGAGATAACTTCCCATCCAAATTCAAATAAAGTGGATGTTAGCAATTATAGGAAACCGTACAGTCTTCAACAATGAGAAAAACCCCAACCATAGAGTCGGCTATAAAAGGCTCCGACATGAAAATATAAAACAATTCAATTACGAAAACTAACGGTCTAATTTATAACAAAATGTTTTACGAAAAACAAGTATCATTTTTAATTTTAGTTTCATGTGTATAATTTGGAGTTTAGTATGACGTCCATTATCACTGAACTAGTATACATATTTGTTTAGGGGCCAGTTGAAGGACGCCTCCGGGTGCGGGAGTTTCTCGCTGCATTGAAGACTTATTGGTGACCTTCGGCTGTTGTCTGCTCTGTGGTCGGGTTGTTGTCTCTTTGACACATTTCCCATTTCCATTCTCAATTTTATGACAGACATAAACATTGGTGTAACAGCAAAATAAAAGAACTAACTATAAAAAAAATCAGTTAAAAAAAAAGTAACTCATCAGATCGATACAAATCAGAAAAACAACAAACAGTGATGTCATTTTACATCAAACTGCTCATACTGTTGAAGGATATTTGTTTTCCGAAATATTTAAAAAAAAAAAAAATCTTATATGTTTATCATTGTTTAAGTGTTGTTCTACACTTTATAAAACGTATATAAAGATTCTACCAATGCCTCAAGTGTGATACGATATTTATCCACTCGAGACAGTTAAATTTTCAAATTTAAAACGCGAGGCTCGCCGAGCGTTTTAAATATTTAAAATTTAAATGCCGATAGTGGATAAATATCGTATTACACGAAATTTGGTGGTGGAATCTGTTTCTCTAATGATTTTCAAACAATACGCAGGCAAATTTATTCCTTCTTTTCGAATGATCTGCAAAAAGATGTGTTCTTTCTATGTGACGTCAACAGGCATGGTCGCCTTTTTCAATCCGTCACAATAGGAAATTCAGAGGAAAGCAAGAAATTTCGACGTCATAATCGGATTTTAACCAATGAAGAACTGAGATCAAACGAACCACACGTTGATTAATTATTTTTTATACAATTGGTGCAGAAAGGGATAAGTTGACGAAGAATTAGAGAAATATATATAAATATGCATATGCATACACTTTGGCCGGGTTGTTGTTTTTTTTTACATATTCCCCATTTCTATTCTCAATTTTATATATACTAGTAGGTAATATATACGTGACGCCGAAAATAAAGTAAATTGTTGCAGGATTGTACGATTTGTTAATAAATCTAGATTTTGATTTCGAAAATGACAACAAAAAGCTCATTGTATGGAATAATTGGTACTTTTATTTAAACATACTACATGATTTATTCGACTACCAGCTACTACGTTTGAATATATTATTCAGCAAGCAAACAGAAGCCCGACACACATTAAGAGGACACCATTTAGACAATAGACAGGTGTCTATGTCATGTTCCGAGTCTTTTCTTTTTATCAAAGTAAACGCAACTTGGGATAGCTTTTATAGGGAAATTGAATTATTCCCACAAAAAGTCGCAACATGTGAATAAATACCCGAGTAAACGTCAACGAAAAATAAAACAACAAATGGCCTTAATGGTTGTTAACTTCTACGTCATTTGGGGATATGGTAGAGAGTTATTTGCATAGGCAATAATTCAACATCTTGTTTAAGATTTATTCCACCTTGGTGTTGTCATCAATCAATTAATGCACATGTGTCTATCTCATATGTTAAGATGCAAATCAGTCCAAATGAAGACAAGTTCCAGAAAACTGTCACTATACAGTGTAATGACATAAAACTATGGACAACTAATGACGATGGTCATAGTCCCATTTTTTTGTAATTGTTTGCTTTATTCATTACTTCTTACACCCGGTTTTAAGTCAGGTTCTTGGTGCTAATTCTTTGGTTTTCTATGTTGTTTTTTGGTTTATTAGATTAGATTATTGGTTAATAGACCCAAACGAGGCTCACTGGTGAAAATCCCCTACATCATTCTTGCCAAGTGTGGTTAAATTTTGCAAAGTCACTGTTATGATTGATATAAAGGTTATATCTAAAAGAGTTTTAATGGTTACTATGTAGCATTAATGTCGCTTTTTTATTATCTTGTCATGTAAAACAAGACGAAGCAATAAGATAAAAGCATATCTGTTGCTATATAAATGAACGTCTCACAAATATAATCAATACCAGCATCAAATATGCTAAATCATATCATTCAATATTTAAACTTATCCTTTGCAGCTATTCCTGTAAAAAAAAAATTAGATGCGACCTACTCGATGATTGAAAAAACACATTTTACAGACAACAAAATATTTTTTCAATAAGATTTTAATCTACGTTTGTTTGAACTATGCTTTTAGCTGTTTGTAAAAGTTATATTCAAAATTTCGTTAAATCGCAGTTTGAAATATTCAAAAAATATTACAGAACCATATTTCTCTTTTTTTTTCTTTTTTTTTTTGTAGCTCGATAAATTTGTGGTCAACAGTGTCCAGAGGGCTTTAGAAGTGGATGGTCTAATTTCCTCACATCCTGTATATATTCCACTTTCTAATCCAGATGAAATATCTCAAATATTTGACACCATCTCCTACGAAAAGGTACGTATCAATGCATATAGATGTAAGCATTTTCACCATGTCGGAATATGAAGGTGTTACACTAATGCTTTGTTATATATCAGAGCAATCATATAGGTGGAGTACTTTATAAGCATTTTTTTTGCTAAACATTCATCAACCGTGATACGATTCAAAAGTATAATCCAATTTTAATCGTCAAAACAAGGAAAATGACAAAAACATCATCGATGTCAGCTTGATATAATTTGAGAAGGTTTAGCTAGCTATAAAACCAGGTTTAGCCACAGGCTGTAACAAGTCAGGAATATGGCAGTTCTTTTTCACGTGTTCCGTTGATTGTTAACGTTTGATTTTGTTAGTTTTTATGGACTTCCCCTTTTGGAATTTTCCTTGGAGTTCGATTTTTTTGTTATACTTTGTCATGTTTTGTCAATGACACAGTGAAATTACACTATAACGATCAAACGGTAAAAATTTCATTTTTTTATTGAGAGTGTTTTACGCCACTTCCTGCATTCTGTATTATTTCATGGCGGATGTATGAAAGTGCTGGTCCTAATTAATTAATATCGAAGTCGAACTGACCTACCAAGCGGTGTTTGAACTAGCAACCCGTCACCTTAATTGATTGGGATTCTCGACAGCCAACTTATCTGTTGTTTATCTTAAGTTATAACTAGATAGTAAACTAGTAACTTTGAGATTTCGTTTATTATGCTAAACATTGCTGCAGTAGTTAATGAGTTTGAATAAAACACTTAAAGTGTTTAGTTACGAAGAATAATCTTCTATGACAAAATAAGGGATAGAATATGACAATTTATTTAAGAAAACGCGACTTTACATGAATAAAAATTCAAAATAGAAGAAGACGTTTACATGACAAATGAAATCTATTTATACAATTAAAGACATTGCATCGCAATAAATTCAAGAATTCAAAATGTCGGCGTTCTGAAGTTCCAGACAGGTACTAAATGGAATAGATTACGCTAGTCGTTATCCAATCAGTTTAATTGATGCGAAATAGTTGCATTATTATTTTTATTCGTTATGCCAAGCATTATAAGTTTTATTTGTTATGAAATAATTTTGAGTCTGAGTGGGATGTAATAATCTGAAAAGTACCTGTTATGTCTTTTTCAGACTGTATGTTCATTTTCAGATTTTATGTATACATATACAATATAAAAATAGTTAAAATAAAAGTATGAAATAAAAAAAATATATATAATATCAAAATTCCTTGTGTCAGACGAATCGTATTAACTAAATGTATGAATTTTCAGGGTGGATCTATTTTAAGAATGTTGCAATTCTTTTTGGGAGACGAAATATTCCAAAAAGGTCTGCAGGTAAGCCATATTAATATTTTATGTAAACATTACTAGTAAATAGTGTAAGTTTGGAACGGTCATTTTGATCTTAACAGGATCTGAAATATCTTTACAATAAACTATTCGGTCATGTTCAGCTTTTCAGTCAGCTTTCAGACTTATCCACTTCGGTGTATTCAGTACTGTTCAGTCATCTTTCAGACTTATTCACTGCGGTTAATTCAGTACTGTTCAGACAGTTCCCTTGCAATCAATTCAGTACTGCTCAGTAGCATTTTAGACAGTTCAGAATTTGATGGTTACAGGTAAATAGCAGCTATTGAAAATTCTGAACATAGACTGAACAGTTCTTAATTGACTTCAAGCAAAATGTCTGCATCGTACTGAATTTACACCAGTGAATAAGTCTATAAGACAAGTCTGAAATTTGACTGAAAACTGAAAATGATTGATTGTTTAGTGTTTTAAGAGCTGTTCATATCAAAATTGCATTATTAGTGCATATAGTAAAACCGATTTCAGTGCTTCGGTCGTTATTGTGAAAGGAGGGCACTGGTTTCACCAGAATTATGCCGATTGCGCGATATATGTTGGATAATTTCAATCCCGTACGCTGATACAAAGTATCTGGAAAGTCTCATTCATTAATAATTTGATCGCATTAGAACCCTAACAGTGTTTAAAGTAGCTTTGCTTCAATGAATTTAAAACCTCAGTTTCATTATAATAGTAAGATTTATGACAAGAGAAATGCAATTAGAAAGTTTCATGAAAATAAATTAAGAAGCAAAACACTTGCAGGAACATCTACCCAATAGTAGTAAGACATCGAGTTCAGTACGCCGGACATTTTTATACTCTTTCTCAAGTTCTAACAATCTTTTTACTTTTTTATGTACAAAAAATCTCAGGAAAAAAATCACAATTCATTTATATCGATACATTGTATAGGGTTATTTTTGTAAATCATTTTCGCAATATTAATTTTGTTTGTTGTTTTATTGCCGTTTACCCCCAAAGATATTTAAACGATAGATTTAAAGAATGAGTTAACCGCAAAAAAAATAAAACATCACTTATTTTCATATGGATTAGAATCGTCACAATGTGCAGTTGATTTATTTATATTGTTAATATTTCTGTGAATTGAAAGAAAATAAATGATGGAATTTAAAATTTAAATATGAAAAGATTGCTTTTATCATGTTTATTATATACTTTCAAGAAATAAGACGGAAACTTTGCTTCAAAACTCAATAAATGAATTTCAAGTACATTCCTTAATGAAACTAGATTGTTCGAGTTATCATCCCTAATTTGACAAAATTAGAAACAAATGAACCAATGAAAACATTTTTTTTTTTTGGTTGTAAAAAAGAAATAATATAATTAAAAAGAAAAGGAAATAGTAGATAAAAAGTCTAACAAATATGTTTGATGTCGGTATCAGATTTGCTAATGTCAGTAATTTACAATCAAATAATAATAAAGATACCCCGTATCCCTAATTTCATAATTAAATGTTGTATGTGGAACACATGTTTTTACTTTTCAGCGATATATTAGAGACAAAGCATACGGTGTACTAGTTCATGACGATTTGTGGGATGCTTTAAGAAAAGTAAGTACTACATTTGATTATAACTCTACCTACAAAAACATATATTTGCCGTTCACGTTGTGATATATCGTTTGAAAACTTCCCACTCACTTTAAAACATTTATTTATTATTGATTATCCTGAATATCAAGAGTCGTTTATTTTATTTTCTTTTAATAGCCTTCAATAATGGAAAGTTATGTAAAAACTCTTACATACTTGCATCCAAGTAAATGAAGTATAAAAAGGAGCATTTTGTAAATACTATGAAACGAAAATAGGAATGTGATATCATTTTACATATAATAGACAACTTCATTCGCGTTTAAAAAGGGGTAGGGGTATCCATACATCGCCGATAACAATTCATAATGAGACATATGAAAAGACGGGTAAACGAGAAGGGTTCTAATGAAACAAATAAAGGCACCTCTTAGTCCTAGGTTCACGGTTGATCTGGAAAAGTAATGACATATTGCTCAACTTTTGTCACTAGTCAGTAAAGTCATTGTAATGTCAACAAAGTGTCAACTTTAAAACCAGTTTAATTCTTTTTGTAATGCCCATTATATCATTTGAAGCACAAATGGTACCTATTGGATTGACCAATTCAATCTTTCGAATTTATAAACTCAAAAGTGATAACATTCTGTTCTAAACTCTTTTTATTTGATACATCATTTAACGAAGATGAAGATCTTAAAACCATTATTATGAACTACTGTTTTGTTTTCAATTCAGCAAAGTATAAAGGATGGTAAGCCACTTGATGTTAAAAGAATAATGGACACATGGACGTTGCAAATGAACTATCCAACAGTTTTCATGGAAAGAAAAGGACAAGGCATACGACTGAGTCAATCAAGGTATCTTCTGGATAAAACTGCTACTGATCCTGGAACATATACCTCACCGTACGGGTAAGTTTCATATATATTAAAAACAAAAAGGGTGTGGTATGAGACAACTACCAATCAGAGACCAAATGACGTCGATGTTAGAAAATATAGGTCACCGTACGGTCTACAATAATGCGAAAAAATCCATAGACAGCTTAAAAAGCTTCAACATGTACATCCATGGCCTTTTCATGTGAAAGAGATTAACACACTTTTTTTTTAAAATACGATACACAACAATAGACGTCAAAGAAAAGCGGAAGGTACTAAAAATACACTCAAACGCATAAGTCGAAGACAAACTGACGACCCCCCGCGTCAAAAGCGGAAACTAAACTAAACAACAGTCATCATAACACAACTTACAAAATAAAGAGAGAACTACTGAATTATATGCTGATGACTATGGACAGGCACATTCATAATGTGGTGGGGTTAAAAATGCATACAAGCTCTCAAAATTAGTCCAAAGTTAAGAAAGAGACGCGGATGATACCGAAAGGATAATCAAACTGATTAGTCAAAGGCAAACTGACAATGCCGTGGCAGAAAAAGCTAACATTTACTAAACATTAACAACAATTGTATATAAAACACATAGAAACTAAAGACTGATCAACACGAACATCAAACAAAAAATTGGGTTGATCTCAGGTGCTCCGGAAGGGTAGGCAGAACATGTAAGACCCATCGTGTTGCTCATGTTAGTACAATCCCGGTTTTATTCGAGGAAATCTTATTTACATTTGTATGTCTATGAACGTTATCATTTGTAATCAGTACGCGACAACAGTATCTTTCGACGGACGTATTGCTATATGGAAAACAATCATTTGGCCGAGGAGCGTACTTGTGAGTTTTGAGGCTGGGTAAATACGTGTTCAGATACGGTCTTTTTATCAAAAACTAATGCATGTATTGACGTCTGCACGAGCCGCAACTTCTATGAAGGATGAAAGTGAACTACGAAATCTTTTTTGGTTCTACCTAGTATTGCATTGTTTTCCAATGGTAATAATAAGGATCATACCGTTAATCTTGGCGTCCAATATTTGAGCACATTTTCACATCGTTTATATTTGGTGTTTTTAATCAGATTGTATATTGAATCATATTTCGCTTAACTTGTGTTCTTACAGTTCAGTCCAGGTGTTATTGATATTAATAAAGCTCTCATTTTATTCATTTCTATTTTATGCTTAACACAATGATTATAAGCTTATATCGATATAATTCTTTTATAGGTATAAATGGGAAATACCTTTCACATACACAACCCAAAAAAGTAAAGATTTTAACCAGAACGAGGCTGATATAATCTGGATGGGAAAAGATGAGGCAGACGGTAAGTTTACAGTCAGAAATTGCTTAACTTTGTTTTAGATGTATGTGGATATAAAGTAAAAATCGAAAATCAAAACCATATATCAATAGTCCAAATTATTCTCGTCATACATACCATAGATATAATCTGGATTCATCAAATCGCAAAAGATCAAAGCACACACAATAACAAATCTAAAATTGGCTGCTGGATCCATGTGCACAATGTACATGATGTACACGTTTAACTAAAACAATATAAAAAGTCTATCACAAATTACATTTAAAAATATGTAAAGACGAAAAGTTGTTTCTTAACATAGTTATGTGACCCTGTTGTGGTCTCTTGATTTGATTCTATTACCAGATTTCGTTTCTGTTATTGACATTTTTCAACAATAATTTCTTTTATTCATACTCGATATCAAAAATCAATTTAACTCGTAAAGAGAGATGAAAGCTACGAAAAGGACGTTCAAACTCATATATCGAAAATATGATAACAACGCCATGGGAAAAAAACCAAAAGTATACAAAACACAACATAGAAAACTAAAAACCGAGCAACACGAACACCGTATACTTGGTGTTTGATACTTTTTAATCATGGTCTATCGTATTCGATCCCTAAATGTCTTTGGTAACTGTAATATCAATGTGCTTCCTCAATATATATGTTTGATAACTAACATAAAAGTTGTTTCTGCCGTACATTTGGGGGTTTTTAAAAATCGTGTTAATCGATAGATCAACTACTTTTACTTTCAGTTTTGCTATCAAAAGTAAAATGTGAGAACGGCTGGTTTATCGGAAATATAAAACAGTATGGATTCTATAGAGTAAATTACCCAGAAGATAATTGGGTAAAACTTATAGATCAACTAAAGACGGATCATACGGTACATTATCTTTTTCTCTAATTTAACCTCTATCTTTGTTTTTTTTTAATTTAACCCCTATCTTCATTTTTATCTAACCACTTGTCAATAATATTGTAGATCACAATACATATTCACACTACGTTCCCTTCTCTCGAAAGAAAACAGAGACTATACCAAGGGGCTACTAACACATTTATGTCCAATATAAAACAGACAATATCATGCCTAACAAGAAAACAACGAAAACCTATCTTGGTGAAAAGTTAAATCACAAAACCACTGTACTCCGACGAAAATTCAAAACGGAAAGTCCCTAATCAAATGGCAAAATCAAAAGCTCAAACACATCAAACGAATGTACAACTGTCATATTCCTGACTTGGTACAGGCATTTTCTCAATATGTAGAAAATGGTGGATTGAAACTGGTAAAATTCAGGATAAGTTTAAAGTTTAAAGACATTATTATAGATTAAAGTCAACCAGTTGGGTCTTAAACAATATGAAGCAATATTCACATCATAATATAAAATATCTATCAAAATGAAGAAAAAAAAAGACATATTCACAATATGCCCGTCCAACGAGTTTTGTGTGATAAATTTGAAAACAAGTCGATAAAGCAACCAATGTATGGAATTCTCGTTTATATATTGCACAACACATGAATACGTTGTTGTTCTTTGATGTATCATAGACTCATTTCACTCCGTATTTCATGTTATAAGGCATCATTGCCTGTGAATTATAAGAAATGCGTTTGATTGAACATGTTAAGCGTTTTACGCACGACCTATATGCACAAACCTGTTATTGAGGTCATGAACATAAAATAGAACACACAAAATGAAGAGATTTTGATTGCCAAATGATATATAAGTAGAGTTGGATAGGGTCTGAAAAATTAGCTCAAGCAATGGCCTCTAATGAATCCCTCAACGCATAAAGTCTTTCTTGAAATGAGTGTGGGACATTCTAAACATAAGGGGGTTCATATTGACACTTTCTGAAAGAATATGCTGGGTATTCACCATTCACAACCTAAGAGATCAACCAGAGATAGGGAGTGGTTTGACTTTTATGTCGAAGTAACATTATCCATAAAATTTCATTTTTTTTTCATGTTTGTTCTCGTCCTTAAAGTTCATGAAATAATTGCCACTGGAGATTTGCAAAGAACAGCTAAACAATCAATCAACAGATTTCGATTTAGTTTTTTTCAGTAATGAATCAGACCATTTTCAGGCTTCTTTTGGTCATATAGATCTACAAGTCTTTGTGGTAGTTTTACATCTTTTGCTTTCACTGTTTTGGGTATGATTGTTCCCGATGAAAATAAATCCTGACAAACCCTTCGGATGTAATAAATTTAAACAAGTTATTTGTATTGTTATTGTTGAATTGATATCAGTACAAAGGAACTTTATACATTAGCAAACTTATTAAGCTGAATAGATATAAAAAGATTCAATAGAAAAGACAAAGTAAACGAAGAAAAAGGAAATATATGATAAAAGTTTGAAGGCAATAAATTGACAACTGTTTTGGAATAGGAAACCCTAAATGTTTGATTGAAACAATACTAAATAAATGATTCACAATGACAATAAAGGATACAGACCTAACTGGTTACTACGATATCAAAATATTGAAGCCTCCTGAATCGGCCTTTACGACTACTTTATGAAGTATTGGGTTGTAAAAAGGTAACTCTTTTTCATGTATTGAATTTATTATTGTCCTGTATTTGTTGGGAGTATTATTCAATAGTTGTACTTGAATGAAATGCAGTTAATGGGTTAGGAGAAGTGGCAGATACAAAAGGTGGATGAACGAAAAAAACCAGCACAACACTAGTGTATTCACTATAAAGACCACCGTCAGTAGATAAGGGCATAATAAAGTTATATATATGTTCTTCTTTAGGACTGGCAAATAAGCAACTGCTTTTGTTTTCTTTTTTTTTAACAACTTCAGATATTTTAAGGCACTAATATTTGTAAATAATGCACCGTTGTGCTACAACAATGGCACATAGTTTCCTGAACCAGGGGATTTCATTAGCAAACTGCTTATACATCCATATATATTATATATATTAGTTTCAATTTACAGAGTAATTCTGAAAACATGTATACGTTTTTGGTGGCATATTAAAGATACAACGAAAATGAAAACTGGTCTTTGACCGTCTTTTGGTTTAGCTTTTAGATTCTGATTTTAAAACCGAAAGTAGAAGTATGGTTTCCAATTTTTGCATCGAAAGGTCAGTATTATTGAATTTCTTACGATTGTCTGTTAAATAATAACTGCTTTTTTATATTTTTATCCGAGTGAATACCATAGTTATAGCGGTTTATAATACCAAAACATATACTTCATCATGTTTGCCAATTTTATTTGGAAACGGCAGGCATCACATGTCTTCTATGAAAAAAAATTTTTGTATATGTTTTATGTTACAGAAAATTCATCCTGTAAATAGAGCTCAGATAATTGATGATGCATGGAGCCTGTCAAAGTAAGTAAAAATAAAACACTTATTCGTATCGTGTACATGTAGTTTAGTATTCATATAACAACTAATCAAAGATATAAAGCTTTTAATTACGTATGACAGAGGCGCGATTCAGCTATAATATATTTATCAGTGTCGCAAGAATGAAAACAGTTAGAAGGGAAATCAGTGAATACAATTGAAAACAAATGTTCATATGTTTTCATGGGTTTTACTCATTGTTGAAAGCCTAACGGTGAACTGTAGTTGTTAAATTCTTTGTCATTTGGTCTCTGGCGGAGTGTTGTGTCATTTTCGATCCTACCACAGCTTCTTAATTTTATATAATCAGGCGTATGCAATAAGAATAAAAATAAGTAGATGATGTATGATTGCCAATGAGACAACTATCCACCAAAATTCCAATAAAGTGGAGGCGGATACAATCAGAGTCTGGGGATTGAGAGCCATTAAAAGTTTCGAATAATTTTTCAGTTTCATGAAAAGAGTTAATTTCAACAAATAACTGTATCAATGATGTTTCCTGATGTTTTCTTACTACTAGGCTAGCGATACTCTCCGGGAGAAAACTTCAACGAGCAGTGTACTACTGGGCTGGTGATACTCTCCGGGAGGAAACCCCAACCAGAAGTGTACTACTGGGCTGGTGATACTCTCGGGAGGAAACCTCAACCAGCAGTGGCATCCTTATATAATACCAAGAAAAAAAAATTACAGTAAATGAATAAAAACAGTATATTACCGATTTTCACTTTTTAGAAAACCCATTTGTAATATACCTTTAATTAAAAGTTGAGGATATCACATTATCGCCGTCATTGCGAGCCAGGATAAGCGAGTGCAGCAAATCACTCATCAAATTAAATTTTTTTAATATGTTTGTCTCTAAGTGTCTTATATAATTCTGTAGCAAGTTTTTTTTTTTAAGATCGGGTGACCTTACCATGAATATAGCCCTCCAAACTCTTGAATACTTGTCAATGGAAGACAGTTATTTCCCTTTTTTGGCTGCACGTAGCGATATTGTGTTTGTAAGAAACATGTTAGAAAGAACAGAAATATATAGTGACTTTTCGGTAAGCCTTTTCCACTTTTTACTTTAATGTTTGTTTTAATAGATTTACTTTACAACAATATATATTTATATATATAAACAAGTCTAAATCGAAAACAACGTTCAAACCTATGATTGCGTTGGATAAAAACCTCAATTTTTATACGTGTGCATGCAAAACAAATTTCTTGGTAGAGAGGTCTAAATACAGCACAAACAACATTTTCCAAAAGACCAAAATGAGTGAAAAAGTATATTTTAACAAAACGCATTTGACTAGCAGGTCGAACAACTGATGTTCTTAAACCTTGCTGACTGCCATTGGCGATTGCCAAATAAAGGGACCACAAGCTGTAACAAAATAGATATTATTAATAATTTATTACCAAACAGAAACAATAAACTTGCGGAAAAGATGGTATACCGCAAACATGAGGTGCAAATATTGGTACACCATATCCGGATGTCGACAATTAATGTCTCTTCAGTGATGTTAGGAATCGAAACGGTATTTGGAAGGCCATATAATTTACCTCAATTTAGGATAGACACTTGAATTTTGAAAGACTCAAAATAGGATGAACGGATCATATAAACCCGAAGGCAAATATAATACAAGCCCAAACGAAAAAATATAAACAAGTCTAAATTGAAAACAACGTTCAAACCTATGATTGCGTTGGATAAAAACCGCAATTTGTATACGTGTGCATGCAAATATATATATATTAAATGACTGAATAATAGCCAACGATAAATCTTACGGGGCGATGGATCATAAAATTATGATACAGTACACTACAAAATATAATATATAACAAGTCTAAAAGGGTACAACATCACCAAAAAATAAATAAATCATGAACAAATATTAGATAGTTCGGATAACTAATATCCTTCATCAGTACATAAATAAAAAAACATAGAATGTGTCACTCATTTTCCCTACTATCACTTGTTTCCAGTAACTCAGGCTTCTGTTTTGGATTCTTACAGTTTTAAGAAATTTATTCCTCCTCCAAAACATCAATATTGAAAAAAGTACCAGCGTATTGATTTTTGATAATTTGTATAGCATTCAAGATTTTTATTTCAGTTTGACTACCACATGTCAAGATAAGATTCATTTTACATCTTACTGATGAAGGATATTAGTTATCCGAAACATTGGTGATGTTGTACCTTTTTAGACTTGTTATATATATATATATATATATTATATATCATTATTAATTTCGGTTTGGTTGTAAGTTTATATTTCAAATAATCCATTGTACTTGTATTTAAGTATGTTCCTTGAACATTATGTCCTTAAACTTGTAATGACATGACAAAATATATATCCTGATTTTTTTGGTCGACGAGAGATGGTCTTTGTTTACTAAGGCACCTCATGCTCATCTTCTGCTAGCGGTTTTTCTTGTCGTATGTCAAAAACAAATTATTTTCTTCATTAATATAGAAAGACAGAAATTGTATTTTAAAAAAAAATCAATAGTGTCTTTAAAATTGTAAATTGTAGAGCGTTTCTTGTGAATCATCAGTTACATTGTCAATTTGCAATTTGATACTCTTACACACATATCAGTTAAAAAAAGTGTTTCAATGAAATTGAGAAGATAGAAATATGGGCATTCAAAAACCAATTTTTAATAAAATAAAATAAAAACAAAATGTGTTGCTAATAGTACGTCTATGTTTGACAATACGTCGTATTCGGTCATCTCACAGTCGAAGAAAAGCTTAAGGAAAGAAAATGTCTATAGTGATTGCAACATGTTCGTGGTCATTCGAGATCATTTCATATTATTATTAAAACAAATCGTTGTCATTCGAGACAATTGCAGAATATTATAAAAAAACTATAACAATAAATGAAAATTGTTTCCAAGTAACCAACTTATTACATTTGTTGCGATGAATGACCGTGATTTTCTAGTGAAATAAAAAACGATAATTTTACATGTGGGATAAACTCCTCTGACGTCATACAACAGCAGGTGTTGTCAAGACGTTGTTGATAACGTTTCAACAACGCGAATTGTGAATGCGTAGACAAAAACATAATAAGTTGCATTTTTCTACTGTATTGCCATTGAAAATTCCACTGTCGTTGTAATAAAAAGAATAATTTATCAAAGAATTCTAATATCGAATAATATTCAACTCGTGACCGAACAACACAGATAATAAACTCATGCGCTACACGCACTCGTAAATAAATGTGTTGTTCGGTCACTCGTTGAATATTTTTCTATATTTGAATTCTTCGATTAGTTATTCTATAATTTTACCATCGAAGTTTTAAAAATTATTTTCAATATGCCAATCATTTTTAAACTGTTATTCCAACTTCCTCAGCCATACGAGAATTTTGGCTCTGCTTTTTATGTCTATTTTGGTCATAAAGAACGTACTTTCTCTTCGTATAAACATTCCTGGCTTTCAAACGGATGTTCCTGAAGACGATCAATCCCGAAAAGTGTTTCAGACGAGCAAAACAAATATACATTGTAATTCTCATTATGGGATATGTGTTTCAAAAGTGAGGCGAAAGATACCAAAGGGATAATCAAACTCGAACCGGAAAACGACCAAAAAACAACCAACAGTAACAAAACTTTCAAACTAGAGACAAGGCAACAGAGACCCTACCAACAGCCGGAGATCCTGCGACACATATGACACCCGTATTGTTACTCAATGATTATTTCAGTAGTTCCATATGCATTGCTTTATTTATGACATATCCAAATGGAAATTATCATCAGATGGTTACTTGCCATGCACATAAAGAGAGCCACTGTTGTTCTACTACTGAATAATGATTCACTTTATATCTTGGTTATGTTTTCCTTTTACTGCGGATTCATTTGTTTGCGTTGTTACCAATTTTTGTGAATTGAAGAAAAAGTGTTTTTTATCAAATATTTGATTTCATTTTTGTTTTGCAAAAGTCTGGATTGATGCCTATACAAATGGGTACTTCGTTGAACTTTTGAATTCGGATTTTTTCCTATGCCCACCAAATCCACGAACATAGGTATCCCAAGAATAATAATGATTTCATTGTAATTAACAAACAGTTTTACTTGTCTTAATGCATAAGGTGAAATCTTTGCATTTCATGTCGTATTTTTGTTATTTTTTGTAGGCATTCATGAATAAAATATTTTCCGTACCATTGAGTAGGCTTGGTTACAGCAATATTGGATCTGGACATTTAGAAATGTAAGCACAGTTTACAAAATTCAAAAATACCTTATAAAAGTGAGTGGTCATGTAAATGTCATATATAAGCTTTTGAAAAAATATTGAACTTGAATGAAGGCAAGTAACAGCCAGAGTCGTGAGGCGAGATTGAAATCATGTACTTGTGTTGATTGATAATTGATGACTTACGTCACTTCAGCACAAAACGACTATACCGTCACAAGAAATCCTTACGTAAATATCCCTGCACTTAAAACAATCTAGGAGTTACCAGTATTCCAAAAATATTTGAAAAAAAAATCTGTTTTGGTAAATTCAGAAATTATTGCGTGCATTTATTATTGCGAATTTTGAAGAATGGACTAAAATGCGAGATTTATTTTTGCGATTTCAGGAAAATCTGCATACATTTATATGGATCCGATATCAGAATGCGAGTTTTTATTATTGCGATACTAATTCAGTCGCATTATTCGCATAAATATTATTAATAAAAACCTCGCAATAATTTTTGAAATTAACAGTATTTAGAATATTTGGAAAAAAATCTGTTTTGGTAAATGATATTATATCGTAAATTGGAAAATTTGCAAATAAACTATATTTATGTTTAAAGCTAACAAATTTATTTTAAATTTGATAAGCTTTTATGTAATATTATAAATGGCGTCTTAAAATCACCGTTTGGTACATTTGGAACGCAAAAGTTTATTGTATAACCATTGATAACTAGATGATGCAACTGTATATATATATATATATATATATTGTAGATTGCTCAGAAAACTAGTTTTAGAGGAGGCATGCAGATATGGAGATCAAAATTGTATAGACTTTGCAATCAACTCGTTTCAAATGCTGATGAACAGTGCTGGTAACTCAAATCCGTAAGTTTAAAAGCTCATGCAACTACACTCAGCTCACTTGTAACTGTTAAAAAAATGCAAAATGCATCGGAAGCCTGTTTTAACGTATCCATTATGTATACAATTAAATGTTTATTTTGAAATTTAAGGAAAAATGGTACTTGTTTGGAAAAATGTTCAGAGTAAAATCCTCAAGTCCTGTTGAAAACTCTTTAAGTACACTGCTGGTACTTCTTTTCTAATGCAATACATATGATACTAGTCAAATGTTCGAAATAAAGCATTTTGAACGACACCGATTACATGATGTATCAACCGTGCAATTGACGGCAAATGTTATCCAATCAAAACTAGTGTTTCATATCTTAAAACATGAGAATAGTGGTTGTAAGAGTGGCAATGATTTAATTTACTGTATTCCCCACTTTGTTTTAAAAGAACAAATCTTATTAGTTTATTTCAAATTAAAAAGAAAAAAAAAGCGCAAAATGAACTCATAACATGTGATTTGAAAATAACCATAGCGGTCTGTTTGATTATGATAAACCACTGCTGACTAATTTTTATGGCTTTTCTTCTTACAAGTCCTTTGTGGGAATATATCTTCTTTCATACGGCTTGTTATGATGAGTTTGCATCAAATATCGTCCATTGTACCAACCGTTAAAATGTTAAATCGTCTAACCCAATGTGAATATTTTATTCAAACGTGGTAACAATTATATTTCACGAATGTTATTTTGAATTTGTATCCATTGATCTAGAACAACAATTCTAAAGTTAAAGGCATACATTGAAGATCTGACGCTAGGTAAATCAAACATTTGGCAAAAAATCCAATAAAAAATTAACAATGCTGTTACAGATTATTGCTAAAAGACTGTCGGTTAATCCGGAACTTATTCATAAAAGTATTTACCATTCCTACATGTCCTAGAGTTGGTGTCATGAAGGAATCATTATTGGAGTTATAAAAAGTCGACATTATCAAAGAAACAAGTCTAATGTATGTAAACTAGTGACAATAATTCATCGACAATCAAATACCTCTAAATGGGTGGTATGTCGTATCAATGAGTATCGTATAGCTTCCATAAGACGTAATAAGTAAACATCAGATAGAAAAGCCTCAGTGACTTAGTGGTTATAATCAAAAGAGTTCCCCGGTCGACTTACTATGTATATGCCGTTGTTATTTTCGAATATAACCATCCTCAATGTATGCAGAAATTTTAACTGAGTCAATATTCATCAGAAGCAATGAGTTAATTTAGGAAATCTGTATTCATACGTTATCTACTAGTATATCTTTCCCCTCTCTTTTTTAACAATTATATTTTACATAAATGTTCTCACTGGGAATTTTTCCCGATGAGTCCTACCCGTCACATGTTGACGATCATGATTAATTGGTGTATAATGTCTAGTTGCAAAGCTATTCGACCAGAAAGAAGAGCGGGCATTTGGTTGGTGTATAACGTCCAGTGGCAAAGCTTGTCGACCAGAAAGAAGGGCGGACATTTGAAATCAAATTTAATGATCTGGATTAATTAGTATATAACGTCTAATGGCAAAGCTAGTCTACCAAAAAGAAGGACGGAAATTTGGTTGGTGTATAACGTCTATTGGCAAAGCTAGTCTACCAGAAAGAAGGACATAAATTTGGTTGGTGTAAAACGTCTAGTCGCAAAGCTAGTCGACCAAAAAGAAGGGCGGACATTTGGTTGGTGTATAACGTCTAGTGGCAAAGCTAGTCGACCAGAAAGAAGGACGGACATTTAGTTGGTGTATTACGTCTAGTGGCAAAGATAGTCGACCAGAAAGAAGGACGGACATTTTGAATCACACTTGATGATCATGATTAGTTGTGTATAACGTCTAGTGGCAAAGCGTGTCAAGCAGAAAGAAAGACAAACATTTGGAATCACACTTGTCTAAGTGGGCAAGGTAGACGCTTACCTAGGTGCAGCTAACCTGCGGGCCCTACTGAGTTACGGCCATGTGTGTCTTGTTTTACAATAGTTTCTCTCTTCCATCAAGGGGAATCGCATTGATATCACTTTTCGGACATACAAAACCAAACGGAACATCCCTAAAACAGGCCCTCCCTGCGGACAACAGTACAGGTGTCTTTATCAAAATTCTCAGTTGGTTGGCTTAAACAATATTATATCGACAAAAAAACTCATGAATAACATCTTCGATATACATCAAAAACAATGTATTCATGAACAAGAAATTGCTAATTTTTAATAAGAATTTGGTATTTCATACAAAGAAGATTAAATGTGTCAATTCAAAACTTTCTATTCCAGAAGAGAAAATCATATGGTATAGAACTATGCGTTAAACGCGTGTTTCAGGAGTAAACTTCATCAGGTAGTACCAAGACCAAGTATAACAAAGCCTAAACATTAAACGTTTGAAGATTAAATTCTAAAGGGGTTAAAACAAAACAGACCAATCCGTCAGAAATCAGCAACCTTCGCTACAATGCAATGACATACTTGTTATAAAAGGCGACGCTATCACTTGCCAGGGAATGCACACTTTCAACAATGAAAGTGTCACGAATCCAGGATTTTGATTGGCGCTCTCTAATTGAAACGGTAAATCAGCTGGTAGCTTAATGTTATCGAGATAGGTAGATACCGAGCTAAATCTCAATGAATGACATATTGACAATTGTTGGATGACTCGATCTGAGGCGTTAAGGTAGCATTGGTCGAGCGGTTGAATATAACGACGAATTAGTCGGGTTAAACAAGAACAATAATAATTGCCATTATCCAATTTTGTATTTCATTCGTCATTTACATTCAAACTACTTTTTATATATATTTATATGTTTTGGAAATTAGTGTGACGTCTATTTTGCTGAACTAGTATACATTAGTGTATAGGGGGCAGCTGAAACCCTAATCCGGGTGCAGGATTTCCTTGCTGCGTTGAAGATACATTGGTGGCTTTGTACTGTTTTCTGCACTTTGGTCGGCTTATTGTCTCTTTGACACATTCCCCGTTTTCATTCTTTATTCTATTCAGCAAATGAAAATAAACATCGGCTATACCATCTACACCAGGAGTGTGCATTTTGTTTAACTTTGATAATAAATTTTATTTTCCAGGATTGATGTTGATTTGAGGTCAATCGTGTACCATACAGCAATACAGTATGGAGGTGTGAATGAGTGGGAATTTGCTTATGGAAAATACACAACATCTAATCTTGGATCGGATAGGGTGCTTTTTCTATATGCCTGCTCTTATAGTAGAGATGTCACGATTTTAAACAGGTTGGTAATAAATAATAAGGGGGTCCTTCATTTTTTTATTCTTAAATTTTTTACGTCTTTTTTTGTATTCTTTATATTTTTGGTTCATTTATCTATATTCTTTATATTTTATCCCAGCATGTTTTCCTCTTCTTCATTTCTTGGTCTTTTTTTTTGTAGGATTGGCCTATCATTCCATTCTATAAACTCCATTTAGACCCTATGCAAGTGATTACAATATTCAAAACCGTACAATAACATGCTGTGCTTCTGGTTTTCGTTAGTCGCATGTGTATGCACTTCTTACACTGAGTATATTTGTCCGAAGACTTCGGAGGGCTCTGTGAAAATAGTTATCCAAGCTTCCAGTGGTTAACGAAGATTGCATAACCGACTAATTTCACCGGAGTGTACCAACATGGTCACCTAAAGTAAAGCACATCGACAAACACAAATAAGAATAGACTTAATGCCGCTAACCCTCCGTTCAAGTAGTTATTTAGTTATAAAAGGACGTTTTTATACCGTAGTAGGACAAGGGAGGAGATACCGAATGTTCAGTAAATAAATCATATGAGATCGACAAGAAACTGACAATACCATGGTAGTACAAAGATTGACAACAAAAAGACAAGTAAGCCCACATAAAACTGAAGATTAAGTAACACTCACCCAGCAAAACACTTGGATGCTGCATAAGAGTAAGTAACTTCGATCCATTCGGGGGATATACCTTGTACAGTGTTTTGACCTGATTTTGGATGATATGAACATGATCGGAATTGGTCAGTATTTGCACAATGAACATACAAGTAACAAAGATTTGTTCCCTTGTTATTCTAGGTTCCTACAATATATCTTAACGGACGATATTCGTAAGCAGGATGGTGAAAATATATTGCGTCTTATCTCAAGAAATCCAATTGGTAGAACTCTAGTGTGGGATTTTTTAAGAGCAAATTGGGATGATATAATAACCCGGTAGGTAAAAGTATTTAGTCACCTAATGTATGGCCTATGTGAGGTCATATTCATTAGTTAAATACTTGACTCAAAAGTGGGAAGTCTTGTGTTTGATCTCAGGTATTGTAAAATACGATTTAACATTTAACATGTACGGAAACATTTTATAATGTTTATTGCAGTTCGCTGTTGCTGTAAATCTTCAAATGAAATTAAATTGTTTTATTAAGGACATGCAGATGAAAATGATTGTACGAAGGCATGTTAGCGCCATACAAACTTGTTTTATATGTCGTCCTATTGTTTGCGTTATAAGGGAAATCTTTGCAAAATAACACAAACCTCTGCGGGATAATGTAAACCTGAACGTTTCATGCATAAGGCAAATACGGGCCCTTAATTTGGAATTATATGTAAATTCGGCTACATTAAACAGGTTTGTTTTTAAGTTTTGCTCTTAATTTTCATCGGTACAGCTTTATTTTCTCGGTTTTCTTTTTAATGGCCTTCTGCTGATTAGTATGTCATAGGTATTTGCTAAACACCCCAGCATGTCACTTTGCTATGTAGAATACCATACATTATCAGATATATGTCCTTTGAAACAAATATAATTAATAAACATGATAAATGAGAAATCAAATTTATTATCGATATTGTTTTAGCTGCTGGGAAATTTCTCTTGTCACTTTAAGGGGCTCCATTGACCGATAAGTTTGAATAATTCATTCACCGTATTACTTGTCGTCTGTCCGGACTGAGATTGTGAGTTCAAACCCTACACGTGGCAGTTCATTTGACTCATATATATACATTCAATTGACCAGGATTACCAGTTTTCTGCCGAAGGTCGAGGATTTTCTGCGGGCATTCCAACTTCCTCCACCAATGCAATTTTTTATCGATATTGTATTAGCTGCTGAGAAATTTATCTTGCTGCCATTTTAATTGCCCGATAAGTTCGAATAATTCATTTACCGTATTACTTGTCGTCGGTCCGGACTGAGGTTGTGAGTTTGAACCCTGCACATGACAGTTCATTTGACTCCTATATATACATTCAATTGACCAGGATTACCAGTTTTCTATCGAAGGTCGAGGGTTTTCTGCGGGCATTCCGACTTCCTCCACCAATAAAAACTTGCCTCCATGATAAAGCCAATAGTGATGAAAGTGGCGTTAAACACCACAAATCAATCAATTAACATTGGCACTTTGACCTTTAATTTGTTTATACCAAAATGATGGCCATCATATTTCTCAATCAGCATTAAAACATTGTTTGTAAGCAGTGCTTAAAAATACAAATGAACATCAATTTCGAACTTCAGACACAACTTTTGTTTTTATAGTGTTCTGGTTGTCTTTCAACGTGGAGAAACACATGTCCGTACACTACTTCAGATTTCATATAGATTTTGTCTCTTGATCCCGTATGACCTTATCTTTTTTTTTTAGCGTGTACTTTTAATATTAGACATGAATTCAGTCCTTCAAAAGTTTTATGGGGGTCATCATTTTTGGTTAACCATTACGGGATATCTGGGTAGCAGGTAAGTGGCGCCAATTTTGTAACTACAACCACAATCCCGTCCTTTTTTCTCCCCGATTGAAACATCACCTTATTTTTATTTGCATTGAATAAAACAACGTTTGTCACTATTTGAAACTGCTCACCCTTCCGGAGTTCAATACCGGTTTGTGGAGGGTTCGTGTTGGTCAGAAATTATAATTATGTAATAATTTGCGGGTTTTTTGTTTGTCTTTCCATTTTGTTTTTGCCATGGTCATGTCTTTTTAAATTTGACTTATGGTTTTTATTGCCCATGTGAATCATTTCCCTCCCTCTGTTGATCATAATCTTAAATGCCAAAATAGAGATAAAAAAAACATACATAAATTTAGTGAACTGAAAATAAAGCCTCTGGCAAAAATCGAGATAAAGGAAATGCAACATATGAGTTGAAATTGTTTCGGTTATGCAGTATTTCCACTGGACATTGTCAGCAGGAGAGTGTTTATATTGAACTATGAAACTATTGTTTTACCGCTCAAAACGAGACATTTAAGTATAACAGTAAAAAATGGTCGATTCCAAGTCAGCATAATATATTTTTCTTGTCATCTACTACATTGTACTTAGCATTGTTGACAACGTCTAAGATCATTAAATGTTTCATCTATAGAGGTTTCGTTTCATTAATGCTGGGTGCAAAACAGACAATTTTGTAGAGTAAAGATAAACGATTGTCGCTAATCATCTGATACGTGCATTCCCAATGTCCACGGTGCTATGAATTTTTCACTTTTCATTCCATAAAATTGAGAATGGAAATGGGGAATGTGTCAAAGAGACATCAACCCGACCACAGAACAGACAACAGCAGAAGGCCACCAACAGGTCCTCAATGCAGCGAGAAATTCCCGCACCCGGAGGCGTCCTTCAGCTGGCCCCTAAACAAATATATATACTAGTTCAGTGATAATGAACGCCATACTAAACTCCAAATTGTACACAAGAAACTAAAATTAAAAATAATACAAGACTAACAAAGGCTAAAGGCTCCTGACTTGGGACAGGCGCAAAAATGCGGCGGGGTTAAACATGTTTATGAGATCTCCACCATTTTCTACATAGGGAAATGCCTGTTTGAAGTCAGGTATATGACAGTTGTTTTCCATTCGTTTCATGTGTTTGAGCTTTTGATTTTGCTATTTGATAAAGGACTTTCTGTTTTGATTTTACCTTTGAGTTCGGTATTTTTGCTATTTTACTTTTTTCTAAATATAGATACATGTGTCGTCTGCAGGTTATAAAACATGTAGACTTGGTCAGAGTGATTTGCGTTTGCGCTTTCAATACATCTTAAAATCTTAACAGTGCTTCTGGATTTCCAAAAACGCTAAATAGTTTGCAGTTCAGAGGTGCAATTTTGTCATATTCAAAATGTCATTTGTTTCCTTTCAGTTTCGTATCAATTAACTACCTCATTGCAGATGTTACAGCAAAGTTTAATACTGAAAATGATCTACAGTCGGTAAGACGTTAAAGCAAGAGAAACAGAACATGTGCATAAATAAATGTGCAGTATTTTTTCAGTATCGGTTGCTAGTAGTAACACATCATATATATGTTATTTGGAATCTTCACAGGGGTATGGGCTCATATTCCCTGTCAGTGTTTTATATTCCCTGAGTCCAGGCCCCATGTGAAGCCCAAATAACAATTATATTATGCTAGAGTGTCACTATTTCAACATTATTTCCCATTATGTGATCAGTTTCACCAACAAATCATACGACTGAAGTTGATCGTAAGTATAGTGAATTGTTCATGACTTACCATCAACTTAAGTCGTAAGATTTTTTTGTGTCACTGATCACCAATCCTAGTGTTTATTCATAGGGTACCACGTAGCCTGTCAAGATAACAATTCAACTTGCAGAATTGGTTGGAATATTTATCCCCGGTATACTATTTTATCATATTGATCCTTGAGATAGTATATTACTTAAATGCAGGATACAACAATAGCTTAGTTCTTAGTTGAGGCCCATGTGTTCTAAAGCTGTTTTCGTTTTGGGTTTATTGCTTATCAAATTAAATATCTTAAGAATCACTGGCGAGAAATAAATGAGCATTTTTTTGACAACGTGTATTTTCATTTTTAAAAAAACAAAAAAATTAACAGTAAAAAAAAGGTTAACCTGAAATACATCACTGGCAATGGCAATATTAAGTTAGGTAAGTATGAGGGTCTGGTTGGAGTTTACAGAAAATGGACCAACAGTAAAAGAACAGAGAAAACTGGACCAAAATTAAAAAGAATAGGGTAAATAGGTTGTTTACAAAAAAAATTGACTAATAGGATGCTAAATATAAGAAAAGTGAAAAAAAGGTAAACAAAAAATTAAAATAACAGACACATTGAGGCAGTTGCAAAAAATTATAAGGAATACATATTTACAAAAATGAAGCCCTAGATATCCAGAACCACATGTATGATACCATTCACAGGTGGTAAAATTACAAACGAAATATAGTGTTAGCATATTGTCTTTAACAACATATAAACCATGACAAAAGATTATGCAATATGTGAACCCCTTACATCTTCCTAGCCTATATCAATACTTTTACCAATCCGGTGTTATCAAAAGCGTAGAAATAAACTCATCATAGATACTAGGATTGAAGTTTTCTATTTGCGCCGGACGCGCGTTTCGTCTACGAAAGACTCATCAGTGACGCTCGAATAAAAAAAAGTTAAAAAAGTCAAATAAAGTACGAAGTTGAAGAGCACTGAGGACCAAAAATTCCTAAAAGTTTTGCCAAATACAGCTTAGGTAATCTCTTCCTGAGGTAGAAAAGCCTTAGTATTTCAAAAATACAAAGTTTTGTAAACAGTTAATTTATAGTTATGACCATAGCAATGATAATTCATATCAACATAAAAAGGTCCCTTGCATTTTATATTTTTATTTATGTTAAAAATCAATATAAATTGATGAAATTACTACTCAAAGGAATTTAAATATCAAACAAGACATACACGCATACGTTAAATAATGTATTGTTAGTCATTTGTTAAATATTTGAACTGTGGGTCTTTGTCAATCTTTGAATAGATCCATACTTAATATATGCAGCTGCCCTCTGTGTTTAATAATATATAAAATCCAGTATAGAATATATTGTTTTTTGTTTGTGTGGGATACATATGTGGTTGGTATTCCATGGCATCTAATTTGATAAATGCAATAACTTGTAATCTAGAGATGATAATAGTAGATTTTTGTCTCATGTTAAAAGATGAAGTTCACTTTTGTCAAAATATGTCATTAAATTTCAGCCTTATCATAATATATAAAAAGGAACAATATGGTATATAATTGGATATTTCAAAGACCTAAGTGCTAAGTAAAACCAATCCTTTCATACGTGTACAGTCTTCAAAGTCAGCAAATTTCGTAGATTTTGTCAAAACACGATGATTTTGGTGCATGTTTCGGACTTAAAAGCTTCGGGAAACTGGTGACTGCAGCCTTTGGTTCAAAATGACTTGTCCCAATGTGTACACTGAATTTCTGAACTCGACAATCTTCAGAATGAGAAGATATAGCCAAATTGCACTATGCTTAAAAACTTCATAGATAAGGGAACATTCTACTCAAACTTTCTTTAATACACAAATATTGCATAATTAAGGGTTGATAACTTAGCTTTTTTCAAATGTCAAAAATAGCAATTTTGTATAAAAGTTATACCTCAATTTTTTATATGATATGTAGAATTTGTAGTACTTTCACCTGAGTTAGAGAGAAAAAAAATCAAGGCCAATTTTAAACCTTCGTAAATATACTCCTTTAAACACCTCATCGTCTTGACACTACATCTTGTTATAATTTGCCAGATGGCACAATTTGTATTTACTTTTGTGTAGAATTAATTGTTTTTCAGAGTGACGAAAATAAACACACACGATACATTATGTATTTGTCTTCTGTTTAAACATGTTAAAAGTAAAAAAAAAATATAGTAAACTTTTCATCGTTATTCTATTATTTATTATGGTAAACTATTCATTTCTGTTAACAAACATTTCAACAGCACCTGCATTTTGAGTATATGTTTCTCATTTGATATTATATTCCAGGACAAACGTTTCATCTCATAAGTTTCTGCAATGTGCCTACAGGGTAGCTGCATACAAGGAGGCTTTTAGAACAAAGGTGTCTTACTTTTCCAGGTTTGAAAATTTAAGGGATGTCATAGTGATTTGATTGACCGATAAGGAAATTTGTCAAAGAGGGCCGCATACATGCTCCATTTACGATCCCGTCCTCTTTCCTCATTTCATTTTCCAATTCTGTATTATAAATTTTTTGGTAGGTAATTTTTCTATTTATCTTTTATTTTTTGTCTTTTTAATCTTTTCTTAAATTATTTTTCCAATCATTCTTCATTTAACATACATATATAAATCTTTTGACAGATTCTGACTTTTAAGGCTAGTAGGCCCAATTTAGGCAATGCAGCAGCAGCAATCGATAGAGCAATTGAGACAACAAGAGCTAACATCAAGTGGATGGATAGTAACTTCCAGATTATAAAAAATTGGTTACAGAGTCTACCTTAGTTGGAAAAACAACACAGTTGCCATTTCCAATTAAATACACTGTCAATATGTGTGAATAAAAATTGAAAACAATTCTGTGAATACAAGATTCTATATCAATATAGACAGACTAAGAATTTAAAATGCATGGTAAAAGCTGTGTCTCAAGTGAGGAATTCGATTTTTCGGTTGAAAACAAAACTTTACGACAAAAGAGATGATTTCAGCTTCCCAATTGTGAACTTTCCATTTCTATGTAGCAACATTCCAGCAGCGCCTGCATACGGAGTATATATCTCCCAATTGATACGATATTCCCGGGCTTTTGTTTCCTATCATGATTTCCTTGATAGAGGATTGCTGCTCACAAGGAAGCTATTAAACCAAGAGTTCCAAATGGTGAAGTTGAAGTCATCCCTTCGTAAATTTTACGGACGCCATCACGAGTTGGTTGACCGTTATGGAATAACCGTTTCACAGATGATATCGGATATGTTCCTTATGTCGTAACTACAATACCCTTCCCTTTTCACGAATGTGACTTACCGAATTAGACTATTTACGGGATTTGTAATAACATAAGCAACTCGACGGGTGCCACATGTGGAGCAGGATCTGCTTACCCTTCCGGAGCACCTGAGATCACCCCCAGTTTTTGGTGGGGTTCGTGTTGCTTAGTCTTTAGTTTTCTATGTTGTTTCATCTGTACTATTATTTTTCTGTTTGTCTTTTTATTTTTGGCCATGACGTTGTCAGTTGGTTTTCGATCTATGAGTTTGACTGTTCCTCTGGTATCTTTTGTCCCTCTTTTTTTCCACACATTGAATTCGGTAGCACTTAGATAGTGTTATGGTTTAAAAAATATGTGATCTTTTGTTAATTAGTGGTTTAGGTTTTCACAGAGGCAATCATGTTTCCTACCACATGTAATTCATACTTTATTCTGAAAGGGACTATGCCTAATTGATGTATTGATAAATGACTGTTCATCAGCGTTCATTGGTAAATAATACTTGGCAATGGCTATTTGTAAAAATGTTAAAATAATAAGAAACTGATGTTAAAATACTTATCATTATTTTTAGCAGCCATATGTTTCTTATGTAGTAGCTTTGCACCCAGTTTTAGTCTCATATCATCTCAACAAACGAGTTTAACCCCGTTACATACGGTATTGTCATTCCAAAACCAGTGTCATGAAGTCCAGTGCTCTTTTCAAATTGTAACAGATTTTTTTTCCCGAGGCTTTTACATGAGGATTTGCTCGTGTCATTAGATGTTTAATTTCCTTTCGTTTTGCTTTTGGTTGAAAACAACAACTCATGCATGTGTATAGAAGAATGTTGGCATCGTTTTCTAATACACGACATGCTTACATCCGCCTAATTTGAACTTTGGTTGATAGTTGTCTCATTGGCAATTATACCATATCTCTTTCTGTTATGTTTAATCGAAAATGGATAAATTTGATCAACATTGTAATATGTTTTTGTGACTTATTAGGAATATATAATATTGGTTTTCACTAAATTACACTTATTAACCAAAAACAAGAGTGCACACGCTGAAATGTCTTGCCTGCTTTACTAACCATTGATTTTATGTTGATAGTCCTAAATGTAAAGCTTTACTACAAGTGTTACATAAACATAACATGATCCAAGAAAATGAGGTTCACGTCAAATAAACCAAACCAGAAATACATGTACACCTTACAATGATTCCATACACCAAATATAGTTGACCTATTGCTTATAGTTACTTTGAAAACCACTTAACCAGGAAAACTTAACATTGACCAATGAACCATGAAAATGAGGTCAAGGTCAAATGAACCATGCCACACAGACATGTACACCTGTGACAAAAAAAATCCCTTAAGATTTGCCTGTTTCACAAATTAACTACATCGTTATCGTTAAACACCATTGCTTCAACAAATTCACCGTAAGCAACAGAAACCTATCAAGCAGATCAGGATAGATAACTGTCATGATTAATAACATTTTCTTTAATTTCCTGAGGAATAATTAAAACATTATCAAAAGTTTATACTCCCTCGAGTATTCGTTATATGTCCCCGTTGGTTACGTAGCTCCGGACATTCTTTCTGTGCCTGGTCCATTTCAGGAGTGAATAATTCAATTGTTGTCATTAGTTCCCGTGCGTTATATTATTTTTACTTTAAGCGTTTTGTTGTACATCAGACAGTTGTATCGTCAGAACATGTCATCGTTGACTATACGATATGGGTGTTGCCCATTGTTGATCGCCGTACGTTGACAAATATTTGCTTAGATTAACTTTTCTTATGGATAGTTGTCTCATTAGCTATCAAAGGATATGTCCTTTTCTTTATATAGGTAGCGCGAACCGTTTTCCTCGATTGTGACATACCGGAATGAGACTCACCACCGAATTGGTACTAAGCATAAGTAACACGACTGGTGCCACTAATGGAGCAGGATCTGCTAACCATTATGTTTCCATGCAGTGTTCTGTCTTAGAATGCTTGATACTGTGTTTTATCTATGGTATTCATTGACTTGACAACAATTGTCTATAGAGTCTTTAAAACAGACAGTAGAGTGGAACGTTTCTAGTTTATTTATTAGACGTATAAGTCAATGGTAATTGGCGATTGATGAGAAATAAAGTTTGGTTATCTATTATTTTCCGGAAAAAAAATCTCAACTAGAAACTTTTTAAAAACACTTCTCTACTCTATATCTATTTTTACCATCATTCTCTATTCTTTATAGTTAAGCAACTAAATTCCTTATGTTTTTGCCTATTTTGCTCTATTCATTTGTTTGCCCTGTATTCTGCCCTCTATGCTCATTATCTTTTTTTTTGTAATAGCTATCCAGACCCTCATACAAATACACCTGTCCAGTCTTTCTTTAAGGTTACACAATACCGAATGACGTTACGCCACGAGTTATTGTTCCTACTGTTGTCGACATTCATGAAATTGACGACAAACGTAAACCCTGATGTTTTATAATAACTTAGAACGTGTAACAAACAATTTGCCTCAGTCTGATATAAAATAGTTGAAAGATAAACGTTCCTTTATTTGATATATATATATTAAAAATACCATCATTTTAGCGACGCTTTTTATACGTATCATATTCAATCACAAAACAAAATTTACATAGATGCGATTCAAATGAAAGAACAAAAATGAGAAAAAAAATCACACTAATGTGAAATTTAAATAAATAAACATTATTAATAGTAACTGTGCATCTGCTAGATGCAGAGTGTCGAGGGATTTGATGCAATACATTAAATGACATTGATTGTTTCGACGTCTTCCTCCCATTCTTCTTCTCATTCTTTACAATGAAATATATACTTTTTAAATGTTCTATTGACAAGTACATGTAAGCATGTGCACGATTTATCTATTTGTGTTCTTATGCGTAACAGACTGATCTTTTTGTTGATTTGGTTTAACTTTGCAATACATTCTTATTTTATTAATGATGCATGCCGTTTCCCAAGAAAATTTTGTTTTGAAAGTAGAAATCCAAATTATAGAAATGCATGATAATGTGTGAAAATACGGGGAATTGTATCACAAGTAAAGCAATTCCGCTAAGAAGCCCATACGTTTTTCAATGGTCTCCGAAAAATGTCGCTAGCAAAATAGAAAAAGGAAATTTATTAGAATAAGAATACCGATAGACTTTAGCGAAAAAATCACAGTACAAGCAGACGTATAAACTCGGACAGCAAATGGTTTGTTGGCATGGAATGAAAAAAGAAGAGTAGTTAAACTTGACTATTTTTGACCGAACAACGTTACCTATGTTTCAAGTGTAAACAGTCTTTAACGTTTATTGGACTGTACAGAAAAAATCCGATATGGTTTCGGAAGCTTGTTTAAAATAAATTACTAGTCTTATAAGTACAATCTTAACAGGACAGCTACATCGGAATAAAGATAAAGTTAGCAAAGGCTTAAACATATGGGATATCAACACTAAATATGCACTCGGTTAGGACGAAATAAAATAAAATCATTCAGATCCCGTTATATTTTTTTCTATGAATTCCATTTTGAAATAAATCATTTTCTCGAAATTTAATCAAACGATTCATTAAAAATCTGTGGCCCTACAATAAATGAATGATAGGTGCTTCGATGAAGGTAAATCCAGAAAGCGCTTCGAACGCAAACAAGTTATTAAAAGATATTTTCATTAACCTATTTTATTCAAACGGCAAAACAAACTGATTAAAAGAACAGAGTTCCAATGCTCCCCTCCCGTGTTGTACATATTGTATCTCTCAATGGCCTTTATAACTTAAAAAAATTTGTTTGTTCTTTTTTATAAATATCGTTAATAGAGAAATGCAGGCTTGAGAGCAAATGCAATGCAATTTCCGATATAATTAATATTTTTCAAGGGGCATAACTCTTTTAAAAATATTTGATCGGCACTGACTTTCGAAATTATCCAAGACAATGCTGATATAAACCTTTAATATAAATTATTTAAAGATTTGGCAATAAATTTACACGTGAGAGCGCTTACAAATGCAATTTTCCATATAATTAATATTTCCAAGGTGCATAACTCTTTTAAAAATAATTGATCGGCACTACTTTTCATGGTTGGCACCAGCTGATATAATCTGGCAAGAAATGTACACGTGAGAGAGCTAACAATACCGGACGAACAAACGGACGGACGGACGGACGGACAAACGGAAGGATGGACACCTGGTATTTCTATGTCCAACGCAACGCATCGCGCGGGGGACAAAAACCCAACGAGATTTTAAGATAATTTTTATTTTAGCTTCATATTAATTTGCACTTTGGTCTTCGGGGATGAGTCAGTTTTTTTGGTGTTTTGAGTTGGACATGATGTACAGGTGTAGCTGATAAAAAACGCGCCTTTTCACAAAGTAGGGAGACAAAACGACTCACAGACGATTAGCAAAGGTCCCTTTTTTTGGGGGGGAGGGGGGGAGAGGGGATGGGCATATTGCTCACATAGCCGTCGAGAAAAGCCCGAGAATATTCGTAGTCTTATAAGGAGTTTTTACAAGTTTGCCAAGTGTTTATTTAGTGTTTATTTAAATTAAAAGGGTTGTTATATCTTTGTGTGCATAAATGGAAATGTGGGATATACAAAAAAAAAACAGAAACTAACTGGCCGA